TAATTTTTAATTTATAAATTATATAATTAAATTTATTTACTTTATATTAACACTAAGATTGTAACAGCTTGAGAGTCCATTTATGAGTTGAATTAAATTTTATACCCACCTCTTCTTTATCTAGCACATCACTGTATTAAGTTGTGGCTTAGCGGGAGATTGTATAATCTAATTTTAATATGATTTTATTGATGGTGAATACAATTATTTTTAATTCTTAAAAAACTTTGTATTTATAATAAATTCAACATAATGTGCATTCCACAACGATCCAAGTCATTTAATAGAAAATAAAAAGGGAAAATAAAACAGTGGAACAAGCTAAGCGATTTTGACATTACAAGAAGTTTTTTTACAGAGCAGGAAAATTGTGAAAGTCCAGACATATTCAGGGGACAAAAATGAAAAAGCAGAAAAGGAAAAGGAAATACTTTAGTAACCAAAAATGGCAGGGCAGCTCTTGCTCATCAAGTAACCACTTAAACGCAACAACAACTCTCCATATAAGCTACTAGCTCATTTGTGCTGGTTCTGCGTCCCTCTATAGTCACTGTAACACACAAAAAACAGAGATGTCAACAATCTGCTTAAAAAAAATGGTAAAATGATCGTTTTACTTTCTTAAATTCAAGGAATGGGTATAAGAATCCATTTTAGTAATTGCATTAGGAGCATAAATTGTGTCCAACAGTAATGGTTTGGCCTTGAGTTCATCCTTCCTCATCCCTTGTTTCGCCCATGGTTTAGGCAGTATCTCTGGTTTTATCAAAATGTTCTGTCTGTCCCAATGTTTTTAGACCCGGCCCGACCCGACCGGTTGAACCGGACCCGGGCCTGAAAACGGGGCGGTTGAAGGCTTCAGCCCGTTTAGGTGAATGGCCCATTGAAACCCGTTGACACCCGGCAAGCCCGTCGTGCCCGCTGAACCCGTGCGACCCGCCATGCTCGCCCGGGCTGAAATTTTCAGTTTTTCACCATTTTTTTAATTTTAAGTTTTTGTCTTTTGGCTTAAATTAAAGTTTAAAACCTAAATTAAAAATCAATTAAACTAATTAACTAAGTAAAAACTAAAAACTAAAAACCCTAAGAATCTAAACTCATCAACAGCTCGTGACAGTGGAAACTGGAAAGTCTGGAAACAAATTGCAAAACCTAGATTCAGGAGGAACCAAGTACCAACAGAACTGCAGAAGGGTCTTTCGCCGATCGTCCGCCACTCCGTCGATCTTCTCTTCGCCGATCGTCCGTCGATTTCTCTTCCATCGATCGTCCGTCGATCTTCTCCTCTGTCACTACACTTCTTCTCTTTCGCCGATCTTCACCATCTACCTCATCTGATTGGCTCAAAACAGAACAGATCGTCGTTGGGAAAGTGGTTTCTCTCCTCTGCTGAACACCTCCTCCTCATCTCCTCTGTTGGCTGCCGATCACCTCCTCCTTCCTCACTGGACTGAAACAGCAAAGCAAAACAAAAGTCACACTGTTGCAGAACATACCATCTCCTCCATCGCTGCCCTCCTTCTCTTCCTCATCTCCTCTGTCGATGCCCTTCTTCTCTCTGCTCCACCGAACAGAAGCAGCAACGGAAATTAGAATCTTCCTCGTCATTCACTCAATAGAAGCAGCAAAGCAGAACTTCTTAGTTAAATACAAAAATTCAATAAAAATGTCAAAAAAAATTTTTTTTAGTTAACCGGTTGACCCGGACCCGGTGGTCAAAACGGGCCAACCACCGGGCCGGGTTCAAAAACATTGGTCTGTCCTCTTTTAACTCAGCCAGTTTAGTTAGTCAATTTTCATTTTTTGGTGGGTTAATTTAAGTGAAAATTAATTAATCAATTTTTTTTTTTTTTAAAGTGGTGAGAATTGAGACCAACCGAAGCATCTGAGTGAGGGCGATAGCAGTGGGGAAATCATTAGTTTGTCTTGCTTTTAGAATTTGAAACATGAGAGTGGCGGCCACGGGAAGTGGCACTCTGCTGCGTGATGAGTTTAGTCTCATGGTGTAGCTTCTAGCATGCAGATTCTATGGCTTCAAGTTTTTCCCTAACTTGCCTTTGTCCCTCTCTAATTCTTTTCTGATCCTCACTTATCTCTCTCATCTCTGCTTGTAACTGTCTCATGCTGGATTGGATTTTCTTCATCTCTTTTGCATTCTATACGAAAATTTATAAAACACTTAGAGCATATTTGAGGATCATTCTGTTATATAACAAGCAGAAAAAGAATGGTAAATTCTATATTTACCTGATGCTTCATTTGTTGTGAATACGATATGCCTTGGCTAATACTGTTGCATGCTGGGCTAAAACATATTTTAGTCTCTTATCTTAATAAGTTGCAGGTTTGAATCCCTTACCTTAGATTATAATACTTCTAATCCTTTACTTTAATAAGTTTGTAGGTTTTAGCTCCATCTTATAGCATAATACTTTTAACTTCTCATCTATACGAATTAAAGAAAATAACTTTTATTTAAGGTCAGGTTATAATGTTTTATTAATTTTATTAACTGACTGTTAACTCTGTTAATTGACTGTTAACATTTTGTTAACATTCGTTAACAAAACTAACAAATAAAATTAAATTTAAATTTCACATTTTCTATAACAGATTACTAATAGATGTTAACAATTAACTAACAAAACTAATAGTCAACTAACATAACTAACATAATATTATAACCTAATGTGAAGTAAGGGCTATTTTTTTCAATTCATATATATGAGGGGTCAAAAATGCTATAGTATAAGGTGATTAGTTAAAACTTACAAACTTATTAAGATAAATAGATAAAAGTGTCATAGTATAAGGTAGGAGACTAAAACTTATAAATTTATTAAGGTAAAAGATTAAAAATAAGTTTTTACCTGCATGCTGTAACTTGAAAGGGGCCATATTTTCTTGCTTGCTTGAGTAGTTTTTATTTTATTTTATTTTATTTTCCTTGGGGGGAGGGGGGTTGGGGAGGAAGGAAAGGAGGTGGCGGAGTGCATTTGCCAGCTGAAGCTTGAAGTTACATATGCAGTTGCAGGTATGCAGGGGGGTTGGGGAGGAAGGAAAGGAGGTGGCGGGGTGCATTTGCCAGCTGAAGCTTGAAGTTACATATGCAGTTGCAGGTATGCAGGCTAAATATAGAGAGCCGCATCCTCCTCCTCCTCCATAGAGTAAACGTCTTTCAATTGCAATTTTTACCAAACATTCAAAATTGTTTACCAAAATTGTTTAACTATTTTATTTAATTGATATATTACATGTACTTCTATAATTAAAATTTTATATTTACTTATTATATTTAATTTTTATATAATAACAATAATTTTTAAAAATAAAAATAATAAAATATAAAAATAAAAAAAAATAATAAAATACAAAAATAAAAATAAAAAA